CCTATAAGCCATGTAGTAACCCCAATTATCCTCATTATTAACCTAGTTACAAAATCCCCTGACCCTCCAAGTATATCATAAAACACTAGACCCTCGGTTGTGGACCCTATCATCCCCAAACAACAGGCCTACACCCTACCTGCATGGTAAACCACTAGACCCCTCACGCCTATACTATACATCCTGAACGCTCAACCCTACCCCTAAACTCTTACACCCTTGAAGACCAGAGTCTCAACCCTACACCCTAAACCTTAACCCAAACCCCAAACCCTTGAACCCCCAAACCCTTAAACCCAAAACCCTCAACCCTTAAACCCTAGGCCCTAGATCCTGAACCCTGAGCTGGGCACACGCTGTGCTCCAGGAGCTCGTCCTGCATGGGAGACGGTCCCAGAAACTCCACCTGGGTGGTTTCTAGGGTTTAGGGTTTAGGGGTTGAGTGTTTAGGGTTTAGGGCTTAGGGTTTAGGGTTTTCCCTGCATAAGGATAATATGGAGGTTCTGCGGGGTTATCTGGGCTTAATGGGGTTTAGGATGTCCAAAAACTGGGGTTACCCATCTTGGGGGGTCCGCATAACAAGGATTACAACATTTTTGAGAGGTCTATATCGGGGTCCCCCTATTTGGCGAAATCCCCACGTAGATGCAAGCTGAGCATGCTTAGTGCTATCCGCTGGGTCCAAGTACCCAGTAGTCAGATACTTGGGGTTGGGGATAATTCTAATAAAGTCTTTGGGTAAGTTTACGGCGATTGAGTACAAGGAATTTTGAAGCTAGGGCTAAGAGTTCAGGCCTTACGGTCAAGGTTCAATGTTGAGGGCTAAGGGCTTAGGGAGGCTTAGGGTGTAGGATGAGGCTTCACAATTGTGAGAGTGTCACGAAGTCCTCCCAAAAAACAAAGGCTCCAGACTGTAACTTTTAAACCTGCGAAAAGAGTAGAGGCAAACCGTACATCGACCTCCTTCTTCACTTGGATAGGGCTCTGTAAGGGGTCTTTTCTCAGGTTCTATGACGGCTGGGGGATGGGTCGATTGCAGCATTAGGATGCGTTAGGTCTGCACATGTCTCCTAACATGCTTGCCTGGCCGGACGCTTCGTCGAAGATTGCAGCCTGCATTTCCAGCATTGGGGGTCCAGGGGCGAGGTATTGGAGAGACAGATTCAATGAATCCCTCAGGGTCCAAATACGTAATAATCATATCCTTGCCCAAGCCTGTGCTATCATTCATTACTGTCACTGAAACTTGAATACCTAATTATTGGGCTCTTGGACCCTCTCAGAGTGCTTTAGCAGCACACGTCATTTTGTGTTTTTGGAATGTGCAGTGGCGTCTTACGAGTCGGGTTGTCATTTATCTTCCTAGGTCCCATGGTATCGACCCCAACGGCCCTCAGTAGGCGCAAATGACATACCTCACTATGACAAGAGCCAAAACCAAAACCCAGTTGCCAAGTCTGGGTTTGCTGGAACCGGACGCGCTAGAACCTCTACCCCAATTCTAAACGAATGATCGGTACTTGGGCAAGTTGAGTAGAGCTCTGATGGTGGTTGAGCCGCGCACGATTAATCCCAGTGTCCACTGAATTGTCCATCTGATTCTCAAACAGCCCTAAACTCCACCCCCTTAACATTTCCCTTTCCAATACTCCCAATATATCTGCTGTGTCCCTAAACCCCTAAACCCTGAACCCCCTATATACCCCTTTCAATTGGAGGTTTAGAGCTGCAGGCTCTACCCAGTATCGTTGACCTCCTCCTTGCAGTAAGGGTTTAGGGTTTAGGGGTTTAGGGTGCCGCAGTGGGTCATAGGAGTCATAAGAGCCCCTTTAATGCTGCAAGGGAGGATGACGCAATCAAATGGCAAATGATGTCAGGTGAAGAAGGTGTTTCTCTGGTGGTTGAACCCCAATACTACAGCCGAAACGGGGCCATAATCTTACAGGTTCTATGCCAAAAACGGGACTATAGCTGTACATCATATAGAGGATTCGAAATAGGATCCCTCTTTGAACTACTACTCAGAATGACGGAACTATTGACATCTGCGCATAGTTGCAGTCCGGTATACTCTTCCCAGGAAGGATGGATTCCCAAAGGCACTTCGAAACAAGCTGCTGTTCCTGAAAGGGATCTATATACGTGAAGTTCCATGTCATGTGGGCGCCATCAACCCATCAAACTTAAAACCTGGAGTCCGCAACCTGCAACGTACCCAACTCGGAATGCCGGGAGCCAAGAGATTCTAGATTCTAGACCCCTCACACTGCACCACACACACTGAACCCTCCAAGCGACCTCTGACAAACACCCCACATCTTACATCCGGAAGCACGACTGCTAATCCAGAATCTACCCCTGGGGCTCCATGTCTATAAATAATACCTACATTGGGCCCCAAAGTCTATAAATATGACCTACATTGGGCTATTTGGAGCCTTAGGGTACATCAAACGCAGAAGTGACTACGGAGAAAACCTGACCCAGGAGTCGGTACGCCTCAAGCCCACATCCCGGACGGTAAGCCTTATCATCCGTATAATACAACCCCTACATATTCCCCACAAGTAACCCTAAGGGTCCATATACCCAATAAGAAGGTAGTTGGGATTTTGGTGCTTTAAAGTCTCTCCTCCAAACGAGCATGGAAGCTGACACAACGCCCCTTTCATAGGATTGCAGCCTTTGTAGGGACCCAACTGCTCGCTTGCGGAGTGTCCAATTTATAGTCCCCCTTAAGTAGATATAGGGGTTATAGGGGTTATATAGGGATAATGGAAACGAAAATGGAAACTACTATTTGGGCTTTAGGGTTTAGGGATTATAGTCCCCCTTAAGTAGATAGACTATGGGGTATCTGCGGATCTTATTACAATACACCCAAAGACATATTCTATCTACTTAGGGGGGACTATAAACGCTGGACAGTGCCTCAACAAGTTGCCATATGAGTGGCTGTGAAAATTATGATCCCTTTTGGGGTGCTCTAAATATTAGGTGCCGTAGTAGAATAAGGATCCAAAAAGGTACCATAGTCTTCACAACCACCCATATGAGCTACAGTCAATATGTCCCAGGTGACTCATGGACTATTAGGAACTATACTACACTGCAAGAGGGACCCCTATGTCCACCGTAAAGGGTCCCGTAATAAGGCATATGTTGACAGCAGCTCATATAATATAAGGTACTGGCCATTGGCATAAGGGCTATTCGAGCATAAATCCCGGATGATTATAAGCTATATACCCCAAGGCAGCTGAAGTCGATGTCCACCCTGACCCCCAGATTCTAACTGCATATTTGGGTCCCTCTGTTTTTGGAAACTACCATACTGACAATAGCACCCTCTGTGGATGGCTGACATCCTGCACCGCTCAAGATACTTCCCCTACCGTCTCTCCCATCGCTTAAGGATATGTAAGGTATAGTCGAAACTCGTAGTATCCCCTTAGTCACCCCTATAACCCTCCCCTATATAATCCTTTTGTAAAGAGTTCAGACTATAGTTCATGTCATGTAAGGTGGTCCAAGATTTTCTCCATCCAGAGGATGCACGTGCGCCTGCAACTCAACGGCGCCACTTCGCACTCCCCTGGGGTTGCTTGTGCTTGGGCTTTTGGTTTGAGACTGGTTTAGGGATTAGGGTCTAGGGCGGGTTCTTTTATCAGGGTTCGGGGCCAACAGCTTGCGACCTTAAGCTCAATGTTCACGAGTTAGCCATGGGTAGGGGTTGAAACATATGGTACTGATTTTGCTCCCAACCCTTGCCTAGAGGTATAATTTAGGAGGACCCCCCCACCCTGTAAGAGTGACTATAAAGGATAATAGGGATTATATTATGGTCCTCTTATATTCCTATTATACCACTATTACAGGGTGGGGGGTCCTCCTAAGGTATAATCAACTCAATAGTGCTCGAATGTGTGTAACGCTTAGGGTTGGCAGGTTTGTATGTCATTTCTGATGGAACTCTCTGCCCTCTTCACGGGTGCAGATCTTTTGATGGATGGGTCAAGAACATCATCATCCGGCAAGGGCCGCAGTTGATAACGGAAATCTTGCAATATCTGCTGGGATTTGAGGGGCGAGCAGTGACAGGCCCCACAAAGCCAAAGGATTGAGGCCTGCGGCCGATCACGAGCCAACACTTTCCTCCTTAAAAAGAGAAGGGATGTGTGTCACTGGACTTTTCGAATACCCATAATCAGCCCTGAGCCCTAAGAGAGACTCCACCTTTGGCACATAAGTAAGAGCTTCAGCACAATATACTGGACAGTTTTCGACGCCCCAAACGCAGATTCGGGGATTGATGCTGTGGTATTCCAGCAGGGAATCTCGCCTTAGTCTCAGCTAATTAATTAAGTACCAGGACCCTCTACCCCAAGAGTTGCAGACACACACTTCTGCTTGGGACCTACATCTGTGCTGCTTGAATATTTGGACCTCACGGTTTGCACAACATCCAGCCCCCAAAACGCAAGAGAAATGAAAGGAACGCGCGCAGGGTACTTCTTCGGATGCCCGAGGGCAACTTGGCACAAAGCAGGGCAGCTACCCCAAAAAACCTTGAAGTCTCGGAGCTAGTAGCAGGGGGCTATGGTATGATCTGCCTGATAGCTTCTTTCATAATGGGTGTAGTCCCTATGAGCACTGGTAACAAGTGTAGCCATGTGAAACCTCATACCTGAATCCTTGCTTATGAGCAGCCCCACTGTGCAAACACTAAAAGAACCGTTAGTGTTATATCTGGGTTATAGACGGATAATGGAAAACAAAATGGAGACTACTATAGTATAATAGGGTATATATATTAGGGTTATAGTCCCCCTTATGAGGCAGCATTTAGCCGGTCAAAATATCTTTCGTAATCTCAAACAGACTATGCCCACTTACTCTGCAAATTCCTGAGCTTTCAGCCACCCTGAATGGTGAAGGACCCTAAAGCCTACACCCAGACCAGTCAGTCATGAGGAGCCGAGGCACTCCCGAATTGTCTCACTAAATCTCAAAAGTAGCTCCAGCGTCTGAAACACATTGACCTGCTACTGGGGAGGTCCAGAATACATGGGCTCGTGGCTTCAGGTTTGTGAGTTTGTTCTAAGGTTGAAATCTGGAGCCCCTATGAAAAACACCCAAACTTCCAACGCCTTATGCCGTCTATACCTGAGATAGCCCCAGTAGATTCCTACAAGCCCAATGAGGGGCCCATACATGGGAACTGGGCAACAGGTACGGGCCCATGCAGTATGAGGGGCCTACGGTTGGGACCCTAATTTGGGGTTTAGGATGCTTAGGGGTTTAAAGGATTCAGGGCATGCAGTATCAGGGGCCTACGGTTGGGACCCTAATTTGGGGTTTAGGGTGCTAAGGGGTCCAAAGGATTCAGGGATTTGTGAAAGCTGATACGGTTTGGAGTGCTAAACCATTAAACCGCCAACCACTACATGGTGCATGTATACATGTCTATATATAGATGTATACACATACACACATACACCACATATATATATATACATATACATACATACATAAATATGGGTTTTCCGAAATTAGGGGTACCATTTTGCGGGTGCCCACAATAAGGATTATAGCATTTTGGGGTCTATATTGGGGTCCCCCTATTTTGGGGAACTACCATATTATACAATGAGGGCGTCTTATTTACCTTAAGGGTCCAAGTGCAAAAATATTGAGGTTTTCACAAAATGGTGGGCCCTTCTATCGCTGGCCTAAGGGTCCGAGGACAAGAATAAGAGGGCTTTACGGCCCAAAACGAAAACATTTATGGCATTCGGGTCCTAACACCCTATTGTTTGGGTCCTCGGTACCTTAGGGTTCTATATACCCCCAAGTACTCTAATCCTCTTCTAGGGACTCCCAAACTAATTCTCTGCAGGCTCCCGTATAAGATGAGAGATAGACTCAAAGGTTTGCCAGAAATGCGCACAAGGTTTCTTCACTATTTCGGGTTGAGAGGGTATCGTACACCATCTGAGAGAAACTGATCCTGCCATGACGGAAGATTTAGGGTTAAGGGCTTGGGACCTAGATGCATGCGCGGGGTATATACTAGGGACATAAACCCCCAAGGTTCAGAGCAGTTATCTACAAGTTGATAAAAGAAATGAAGCACAAACATGGGTGCTTGCCGCTTCAGTCGAGGACCCTAGGGTTAGATCCCTACGAGTGAGGTGACTTAAATCCCTAGGCTCGAATTCAGCCCTTAACCCTGAAACCTGACTGACTCCTTGCTCCGAACCCTAAGACCTGAACTTTCAATCCTAAACCCCCTTAGGCTTTAGGGTTTAGGGTTTAGGGTCTCTCTCTCTCTCTCTCTCTAATAGTAGTTTCCATGTTCTCCTCCACTATCCCTATATAACCGCATATTAACATATATTATCCCAATATTACCCTGACACCTCCACCCCGGACGCATGCACCTACAGTTTACAGTAGGGTGCATTCCAGAAAATGTCCCCAGGGAGAACCTAGGGAATAATGTTGGAGCCCTAAATCCCAAACTCATATATCCGGGGATTTTGAGCAAAGCTCAGGTACCTAGAGATACCTTGTAAGGATATCCTAAGAAATCACCAACTCAGGTCCAAACAGCGAGAGTTGGAGTTTAAGCCCTAAACCCTAAACCCTGAACGGCTTAGAATTTAGGGTTGCAGGCTTATGGCTCCAGAAGACGATTGAGGCGCACATAGGCAACACTTCGACCATCGTTACCCGTTAGGCTCAAATCCTGATTGCCTTCAGTTTAGGGTTCAGTCCCTAAATCCTACCCTAAACCCTAAATCCCAAACCCTAAATCCTAAACCCTAAATCCCAAACCCCAAACCCCAAATCCTAAACCCTAAACCCTAAATCCTAAACTCTAAATCCTAAATCCTAAGCCTTCAGCCTTGTAAAAGGATGCCTCCACCGCCTTCTCTGCGAGCTTGACAATGTCGTCGAGGCTCTTTCCATCTCCCTCAGAAAGCGTGTAAGACTGCCTGGGGTTTACTGGGTTGCTGTTAAGGAACTTAAATTAAGTTACCAGAATGGGTATATATAGTGAATAATCGGGTTGCCCCAATATAGTAACTTAAATTAAGTTCCTTAACAGCAACCCAGATAAGACTGCCTGGGGTTTAGGGTGTAGGGTTTAGAGTTTGAGAGCTCTCATATATGACTGCCTTTAGGCGGGCTGTCATATAAGCCATAGAAAAAACTCCTTAAGCGGGGCTTATATAGGGTTTCGCGTTTAGGGCTATGTAGGGTTTGTTATACGGGACTTCTATAGGGGATATTAAGGGGGATACTAGGAGTTTAGAGCATAGCTCATACATGAATCGATATCATGGGCCTGCAACCTCATAGACCGGTCGCCTGGAGCTTTTTTGCAGATGTTGGGTTCCTGCTTGGGTCCTGCTGCCAGACATAGTTCCCCAAGGGTCCATGTTCCCAACAATTGGGTACTTGGGATGGTGGTAAAAGAAATTGTCCTCGCCCCAGATTACTTTTCCTTCTTTAATTGGCTCCACCTCTGAAAGGCAAAAATCCGCCTCTCAAAACGGGGGCTTTAGGTGTCCGATTCAGGCCTGTGTGACCCAGGATGGCTTTCTGAAAACTATGGGGGCCCACCCAGATACTTCAGGATTGTAGGCACGACGCCCGGACCCGAAACCGCAAAACCACGACGGATACACTCGCCAAGCCTAACTACACTCTAAACCCTGGACCCTAGACTGAACCCGAACTCCAAATGCTGCACCCTAGACTGTTAAACTCCCAACCACCCTAAGCCATGTTCACCGTGCACCGCAAAGCTCAGTGTCTGGCCGATAGCAAGGAGACGTTGGACGCCTCAGTGACTGGCAAGACTTCCAAATTGCTGCGACCCCGAACTGCGGGATATGGCTTCAGAATTGGGTTACTGTTGAAGGCTAAAGTCTAGCGTTGAGGTTAGTAGGGCCAACTACGTTGGAGGAATTATCACATGAGGAGTTTTTGTCAGGAGTACATAGGGGCTCCATACGGAAGCTATATATTGTATACGAGCTACATGCACCCCGCTACATATAACTTCCCTCAGTTAGTGTTGCCTTCAACATCTGAAACCCACATGGATGCGAGGGACTATGAGGAGGGTCCCATCAAATAGCCCAGTAGGGATGGCTTTCAGAAAAAACCCTAAACCCTAAACC